CATTGACTTAACATGGGACACAGCAAAATTCCAACTTTGACCTCGTGCAAAGACACGTTCCGAGATTCTGAGGGGTATACAGCGCACACTAGCGTGTACCCAAACGTGTTTGCCATAAAATGCTGGGAAGAAAACCACCTCTTCCTTGGCTCGTTTTCCCGCTATTGGCGATCGCGCAAAAAGTGTCCAAAACCCCGTTCACTTAACACGGGGAAAATGGAATCGCACGTGCCACGTGCCACGAGGTTTTAAGCGAGTAGCGACCGATGCCATAAGGTAGATCGCCTCCGGGAGCCTATACACTGAACTTTTTACGAAGATTGTACATTTCGTCTAGGCCCCAATCAAGATGTCTCGATTCGCTGCCAGACTTGCAAAACATAGCCCGGAGAACGACCGCTCCGGTTGTTTTTCAATAGAAAAACACAATTCTAACGAATAGTGTTTGTCTTTTCAAACAACCTGCGGTTACGTGTGAGAAAGGAAGAAGCTATCCCACACAAAAGACCGCGAGTGAATGGGTCCAGTGGTTGCAGAGATATAAGGTTTGTAAAGGCACCCCACAGGCGGCCTACTGCTAATACCAGCATCTGCGATGCTGGGCTCCGCATCGCGGGACCGCAGGTTGTTTGAGCAAGCACCTCTGTAACGCCGCAAAAACGCCCGCCGCCAAACGAGAGGATGAGCCTTGCACGTGCAGCCCGGAGCGGGTGTGTCACGAACTGACGTGCACTGCACTCTACTAACCGGTCTCTAGCGGTTTGCCAAATTTGAGTGCAATCGGCCCGGCCGTTTTCGAGATCTCGAAGCGGCACCCTGCACGTGCGCACGTGCAAGCTGGGTCCCAATTGACTTTTGCACGGCACCCTTTTCGCCGGTCTCTAGCGGTGTACCGAATTTAATCTGAATCGGCCCAGCCGTTTCCAAGATCTGGAAGCGACCCCTACACGTGCGCACGTGCAGCTGCACCCCAACCGCGGCACATGAAAATACATACCTACTGACTTGTGCACGGCACCCTACTAACCAGTCTCTAGTGGTATGTCAAATTTGAGCACAGTCGGTCCAGCCGTTCTTGAGATATGGAAGCGACAGCCTGCACGTGCGCACGTGCAAACTGGGTCCCATCTGACTTGTGCACGGCACCCTACTCGCCGAGCCCTAACGGTGTGCCAACTTTGATCACAATCGGACCAGCCGTTCTCGAGATCTGGAAGCGTCACCCTGCCCGTGCGCACGTGCAGCGGCACCCCAACCGTGACACATGGAAAGGCATTGCGGGACGGGTGCCTACATCCATGCCAAGGATCAGCGCAATCGGCAAAATAACTACAGAGTTATTACACTTGCTACCGATCTGACACCTCTTCGTTTTGCACGTGGCACGTGCATTAGGGGTCACCCATACGCATCGAGAGTAGCACACTACGTTTGGGAAAGGAAGAAACTATCCCACACAAAAGACTGCGAGTGAATCGGTCCTGTGGTTGCAGAGATATAAGGTTTGTAAAGGCGCCCTACAGGCGGCCTACTGCTAATATTTAGCAATAATCAGTGTCGCATCCGCACACGGGAGGTATCCCCGTTACCTGTTCGTATGCTCATTGTGGTTGGGTTCAAGTCACAGGCGAGCCCTGCTTTTTTGCAACTTTTCTTAGAAACGGCACATCGTGCAGTGACGTTCTATACATCGTTGGAAAGAGCATCGAAAGTTGTATATTTCATTAATTTTTCACTTTGGTATATCTGCAACGTAAAAAGTTATTAAGCAACAAAGACGCTCCCATTGACTTTCCATGTTAAAAATTTTCATTTTCAAACGAACTTTATTAGAAAAAACGATTTCTGCCAGCTTAACGAAGCATACCAACATGTACTATGCTCCTTTCTCTACAAGATATAAGAGTTTGGGCGAAATCTATCTCTAAAATTTTGTACAAAGATCGAATGAAAATGTCTCTGCAAAGTCTCGACATCGCCGTCCATTGACTTAACATGGGACACAGCAAAATTCCAACTTTGACCTCGTGCAAAGACACGTTCCGAGATTCTGAGGGGTATACAGCGCACACTGACGTGTACCGGAACGTGTTTGCCATAAAATGCTGGGAAGAAAACCACCTCCTTCTTGGCTCGTTTTTCCGCTATTGGCGATCGCGCAAAAAGTGTCCAAAACCCCGTTCACTTAACATGGGGAAAATGGAATCGCACGTGCCACGTGCCACGAGGTTTTAAGCGAGTAGCGACCGGTGCCATAAGGTAGATCGCCTCCGGGAGCCCATACCCTGAACTTTTTACGAAGATTGTACATTTCGTCTAGGCCCCAATCAAGATGTCTCGATTCGCTGCCAGACTTGCAAAACATAGCCCGGACAACGACCGCTCCGGTTGTTTTTCAATAGAAAAACACAATTCTAACGAATAGTGTTTGTCTTTTCAAACAACCTGCGGTTATTTAGCAATAATCAGTGTCGCGTCCGCACATGGGAGGTATCGCCGTCACCTGTTCGTATACTCTAATGTGGTTGGGTTCAAGTCACAGTCGAGCCCCGCTTTTTTACAGCTTTTCTTAAAAACGGCACATCGTGCAGTGACGTTCTATACATTGTTGGAAAGAGCATCGTAAGTTGTATATTTTATTAACTTTTCACTTTGGTATATCTGCAACGTAAAAAGTTATTAAGCAACAAAGACGCTCCCATTGACTTTCCATGTTAAAATTTTAAATTTCAAATGAACTTTATAAGAAAAAATGAGTTTTGCCAGCTTAACGAAGCATAACGGCATGTACTATGCTCTTTCCTCTACAAGATATAAGAGTTTGGGCAAAATCTATCTCTAAAATTTTGTACAAAGATCGAATGAAAATGTCTCTGCAAAGTCTCGGCATCGCCGTCCATTGACTTAACATGGAACACAGCAAAATTCCAACTTTGACCTCGTGCAAAGCACCGTTCCAAGATTCTGAGGGGTATACAGCGCACACTGGCGTGTACCCAAACGTGTTTGCCATAAAATGCTGGGAAGAAAACCACCTCCTTCTTGGCTCGTTTTCCCGCCATTCGCGATCGCGCAAAAAGTGTCCAAAACCCCGTTGACTTAACATGGGGAAAATGGAATCGCACGTGCCACGCGCAAAAGACTTCTTAGCGAGTAGCGACCGGTGCCATCAGGTAGATCGCCTGCGGGAGCCCATACACTGAACTTTTTACGAAGATTGTACATTTCGTCTAGGCCCCAATCAAGATGTCTCGATTCGCTGCCAGACTTGCAAAACATAGCCCGGAGAACGACCGCTCCGGTTGTTTTTCAATAGAAAAACACAATTCTAACGAATAGTGTTTGTCTTTTCAAACAACCTGCGGTTACGAGTAGCGTAGACGAAGAGTGAGTGAGGCGTGGATGTGCTGGAACCTGTCTAGTAAACGATCTGGTCGATAGACGAAGAGTGAGTGAGGCGTGGATGTGCTGGAACCTGTCTAGTAAACGATCTGGTCGACGCACAGTTTTATGAAGGCCAATTGGGAATAAATGCTAATCAAATCGAAACGTTTTATTCGCAAATTCAATCGTTTTCAATGCAAATGACATGGTCTAAGGATGGGTTTTGGTTGCCTCTTTGTTTGTGGTAAGCTTAAAGACACAAAATATGTCAGTAGGAAATCAGTCTTACGACATTTAGTGACAAGGCCGGGATCCCGGGATCCCGGGATCCCGAAATAAAAACTTTCGGGATCACGGGATTGGCAAAACGTTCCGGGATTGCAATCTCTAGTGCTACTGTTAATTGACCTTTATCAGTCAGATCTATATAATATAAAGTCATAGGTACTAAATATTTGGATGACTTGTAAGGGTGACTTGGGTTGGGATGGATTACATTACTTAAGGTTAGTAGGTTAGGTCAGGTTAGGTCAGGTCAGATTAGGTTAGCTTGAGTATAAATTGAAACAATTGGTTTTATCGTAATAGTAAAGTTATCTTGGGTTGTCTGCTAGCATTTTAGAAGAGCTGCAATTGGCTTGTATGGATATAGACTAAGGACATCATCTTATGCATAAGGACTCTTGAAAATATTTCATGATAATCATTCTTTGTCCACTGCTTATTTATGAGCAGTCTGTCGATTTTGTATCTTGCCATATGTGGAAGCCAAATGCCAGCACATCTTGGCATGTGATTGATGACTGGCATAGACCATGCTGGTTCCACTAATGAGAAGCTGAGAAAATAAAATTGGGAGTGAACAGCGCTCGGAAAATTATTCACAGCACGGCAATTCACCGATGATCACCGGGGGACAGGTGGCCGATTTCCATCGGTATTTTCTGCACATATCACTTCTTTTTGTGGTGCTTGAGATTCTTTAATCAGTATACAACGTTTTTGCTGTTATTTGGTCGTATTAGGCGTAGTTTTCACTAGCCGTTTTGAGCTCCATAAGGAGCCGTAATAACGGGCTGTCTAAAAAGCAGGCGAGATTAGCAGTCAAGCCCTTATCAAATACATTACCATCCTGCCCGCATCAATCGAATGCGGGAGGTGCGTACGATTGATGCGAGCGTTGTTTGAATAGGCTCTCGCTTGCGATTTCCTGACTGCGGAAAGAGTCTGTTTCAGCCTTAAGTGGTCCAAACTCCTGAAAACCGTAGCACACGAGCCCACGCTCCGATACTACCACGGTATATAGAGAACTGATACTACTAGGCTGATTTCGTCGAAACCTGAATAACTCGACGCGCCATGTTCTGAAACGTTCAGTGTGGTGAGCGAGCCTGGCCCGCTATCAGTGTTTCCGTGTTGGTTTTGCGAGTGCTACACGCCGCACACCAATCATGACCAAGAAACGTAAGACGCTGTCACCGCCCCAGGAAGGACAGAGTGATATTTGTGCAGATTTGAAGAGGTTTATTGTGGAGGAAAATGAGAAATGTGTCAAACAGATCGTGGACTCAAACAACAGGCGGTTACAGGCGATAGAGGAGTCCTTAAACTTTGCGATGGACTCCCTCACGTCAGTGTCCAAGCGGCAGCGCGCAGCGGAGTCGGACATTACGAAACTGCAAAAGGAGACAGCTGACCTGCGGAGACGCCTGCAGCAGATAGAAGTCGGCGAGGACAGGCAGCAGCAGGACAAGCGACTCACCTGCTTGATCTTCTCCGGGCCGGCGCTGCAGCGCCTGACGAGCCGAGAGGACGCCGCGCGCCTCATCAAGTCGCTGGTGCAGCAGTACCTGCAACACTCCCTGGATGGCTCCCAGGTGAAGGCGATGGTTCGCCTGAAGAACGGTAAAATACTTACCGAGTTTACCACAGCCACGCCCGGATCCGATCGTGACTTCTTGTTTCGAGCTAAGTCCCGGCTACGCGGTTCAGGACTGTATATAGCCGAGTCGCTCACACCCCGTCGGCAAGCTATGTTTGTGGAGCTACTGCAGCTCAAGAGGGAGGGTGTCGTCTTCTCCGTCTTTACCCGGTCCGGAGATGTGTTCGCGTGCCGGGAGCGTGACTCGGCCCCAATCCGGGTCAGTGACCTGGAGGCGGTGCGCCGGCTGGCCGGTGACCGCGCGCCCGACCTCCGCGCGCAGGGGCGCACCCAGGCGCGAGGCTCGGGAGGACAGCAGCCATCGACTCGGAGTGCGGAAGAGAGGGAGCTCGACGGAGGACAGAGGAGGGAGGAGGCAGTCTTCAGTCCTCGGGGCAGGATGGAGATGGACACGCGCAGCACTGGTGACGCCACGAACCCAAGCCGGCACGGCTCCTACTCTGGACCGGATCGCCCTAGCGAGGCGGCGAGCTCGGTCTCCCGCGACGCTGGCGGAGAGCGGATATCACTCCTAGACTGCGCTCGTGAGTCGCCAATCCAGCTGGTGCAGTTGCAATCCAGTTCCCCACCAATCGAAGAGGGAGTATCTGAGGCTGACGTCGAAGGCGGCGGCGTCCCGATCGTGCCCCGTGCGGGGCTCGGCGCCAGAGTCCGGTCAGCGTCGGTAGGTGCTCGACCGGTCGTGTCTGGCTCCCCCGGTTTCGGCGACCTGGCGGCGCCCGTGTCGGTGACCGTTCCGAGCCAGGCGGCTGCGGCGGCCGGCCGGGGAGACGCGGTAAGCGAGCAGAGAGACTCTCTGCTGCCCGGTGGACAGCGGAGTCAGCTGACCGAGCGGCTGAGGGGGGCGGGGGCTGGGGCAGCGGGGCCGTCGGGGCGTGGGAGGGGCGGGACGAGGACTCCGTCTGGCACGTCCAGGCCGGGAGTACAGGGCGGGGATGGGAAGTTCAGAGATATTAGACAGTACTTCTAGGGTGTAATGTGTTCTGATCTGATGTGGATCAAGTCCGAAGCGTTTCCGTTTCCTTTTTTGGAGTGGAGTTGCTCAATGGCACATTGCCATTGGCCTTCGTATGCAGATGTTTTGTCGATTGAACACCCAAGAGTAGTTAGCGCCGTGTCCCATGTGGATGTGTTCAGCATTGTATTCATACTGGAGGTCGGCTTCTGGACGATGTATATGAGGTGCCGTTTCGCTATGTTTCTTACGTTCTGTTCATGTGCCCATAGACGGAGTGGTGTCCCAGGACCTGAGCGCCGGAGGAGTTGCTGCGTTGTCCGTGGCTGCGGCGGCGGGTTCGGCGCGGCGCGCGGCGGTGGCGACTTCCGAGGCGTGCCCGCGGGCCCTGGTGTCGGAGACTGCGGCCTCTGGATCGACGGTGAGGTTGGTGACACTCTGTGTCACTCCTCTCGTGGCCTGGGCTGGTCGCTGCCGCCCCCGCCGGCGGCTTCGGCGTCGGCGGTGTCTATCGCGCACTCCTCTCCAATAATCCTGTATTCCGACTCACATAACTACCCACTATCCTACCCACTAGCAAATAAGCACGAACTACACCACGTACCAACCTCATTCCCAGCGGCATGGAAACTATGGCTGAGCTAAAATTTATGACATATAATTGTAGAGGGCTAGGGAGTCGAGAGAAAAGGAGAGATGTTGTTAACTTTCTTAAAAAGCTCGATTTTGATATTTATCTGCTCCAAGACACGCACCTTACCGAAAGAACTGTACAATATTTCAACACTATATGGAACGGAAAATGTTATCACTCTTTTGGAACTTACAATAGTAGAGGAGTGTCAATATTATTCAAACCAAGAGTACAGCACAATGTGATTCATGAGGAACATAGTCCTGATGGAAATTTTCTCACTCTTACCTGCACTATATTTTTAAACACATACACTATTACGACAGTTTATGGACCTAATGACGATTGTCCAGCTTTCTTCGACAGATTACACGGCAAATTTGAGACGATACCTAACGAAAACATGATAATCGCCGGCGACTTTAATTTCGTAGCAGATCACTCACATGATTCAAACTATAATCGACAAAATAACCCAGGAGCAAAGAGAGCGTTTTCTGAAATTATAGAACGGTACAATTTGATCGATACTTGGAGAGAATTGCATCCTGATGGCGATGGTTACACTTGGACAAGACCAAATCCGGTCAAATTCGGTCGACTTGATCGAATATATATTTCAGATCACCTAATTACTCACATAATATCAAGTAAAGTATGTCCTGGATACCGGTCAGACCATAATATGGTAACTCTCAGTATCAAAGAGCCACAGTTGAAAAGAGGCCCTGGGCTATGGAAGTTTAATTCGGCATTACTGGAGGACACTGCTTACAAAAAAATTGTTACAGAGATCACAATTAATACAGTAAGACAATACGCAATTCCTATTTATGACGAGGAATTTATTTCAAATCCAAGTAATTTCAAACATATCCAGATGACTATCAGTTCTAGTTTATTTTACGAAACATTACTGATGATGATCAGAGGAGAAACGGTGCGGTTTTCAAAGCAAAAAGCAAAGACAAAGAGAGAAAAAGAAAATAAGTTGTTAACGGAAATAAACAACCTAAATGACATATTTAACAGAAGCAAAACACAAGAGGATTTAAAGCGATTAGACGATGCTAAACGAAAACTAGAAGAGATGAGAAAGCCCCAAATACAAGGTTTAATAACAAGGTCCAGAGTAGATTGGTTCGAGGACGGAGAAAAATGCTCGAAATATTTTTTGTCATTAGAAAAGAGAAATGCTATGCGAAAGTCGATTCAGGTTATTAGGGATGGAGAGAAAGTGATAAGTAACAAGGAAGAAATACTGCAACGATTTTCACAACATCTACAAACTAAGTATAGAAATAATTCTTCACACAGTAGAAATATCTCCTATCTAGAAAACATCGGAAATAAACTATCTGATCAACAAAGAAGCGACTTGGATACACCATTAAGTTTAAGAGAGTTGCATGATGCTTTGAAGGGAATGAAGAAAGGTAGGTCACCCGGATCTAACGGCTTTACATCGGATTTCTTTAAACATTTTTGGGAACTGATTGGAATATTTCTATTTCGTGCCTTTGAAGAAAGTCTAGCAAACAAAATCTCAATTTCATCACACAAAGAAAGTGTGGTCACACTAATACCTAAACAAGGAAAGCAAAAAGACTCTATCAAGGGATGGAGGCCAATTTCTTTGCTCAATGTTGATTTTAAGATTATTTCTACAGCGATCGCGAATAGGCTAAAAACGGTAATGGAGGAGTTAATATCGCCCACGCAGACAGCATACATTAAGGGACGCTTTATTGGGGAGAACACGCGTTTGATGTACGACATCATAGAGCATGTTCGCAACACATCATCTTCTGGATTGATAATGGCAGTTGATTTCGAGTCGGCCTTCGATACGGTCTCGTGGGACTTTTTGACAGAAGCGCTTCACTGCTATAATTTTGGACCATATTGCATTGACATGATTAAATTGTTTTATCTTAATTCCAATAACTTCGCTCGAATTCTCTTAGATGGATATCTTGGTCCAAAAATAACTATGGAAAGAGGGATCAGACAGGGGGATCCGGTCTCCGGATATTTGTTCAATTTGGTAATGGAACCGCTTACAAACCAAATATTACGGTCCAGAAGTATAAAAGGCATACAAATCGGAATCAATTCAGAGGCAAAGCTGTCGCAATATGCTGACGATCTCATAATATTCTCACGCGCAGAGCAGAGCTCTGTAGAAGCTGTATTAACCCTATTAGTGGCAGGCTCCTGGCTACCCCTATTAGTGGCAGGGGGGGGGGCTGTTTACGACCCCCCCTTGATATCTCGAGATCTAACGGGCCGATTTTCAAAATTCAAACGGCATTCGATTTCGCTCAACGTGATCTACATTTCTAAAAAATAAAAATTAAGAAAATGTCAAAAGGGGGGTTGAGGGGGGTAAAAACGGGCAAATTGCAGATACATTTTAGACTGTTTATCACGGCCAGGTTTCTGAACCAATCTTAACGCAACTTTTGCCGATCCATAGAGAATGAACCAGGAATTCACATGGATCCTAAAAATATGCATTTTCAAAAATCATAGGCGGATACAGATCATTGAGATTGGGGGTACACAAAAAGTATAGTAAATAAGGTTTTTGTTGGTACTGTTTCTAAAAAGGGTGGTAATGGTCTTGTTATGTTACAATTTTCTTATGAGAGAACGACTACAATTGTATTGGTCATGCATAGGCGGTGTCAGGGCACCTTTGTTGGGAGGTAAAACATAACCCCCCTTTTTGGACGCCTGGATCCGCCTATTATAGCAAAAACGTGTCAAAAGAGGATGCACAATAACTTTGTACTGAGCTCGATAATTTTCACTCGGCAACAGGATTACGCATTAATAGAGAGAAAACAAAATGTTTGCAGATAGGACAACAAGTTGATAGTTCTTTTTTGAGTAGTTCAGGAGTACAGAAAGTAAGTGAGCTGAAAGTGTTGGGAATAATGTATAGCGATACTAATAAAAACATTGTTACACGAAACTTACAAGAAGCGCTACCCAAAGTCAAACAGGAAATTGCACAATGGAATAGAAGACATCTTACGCTAATCGGGAAAATAACGGTTATTAAAGCGATGGTCATTTCAAAATTAGTACATATTTTATCATCGTTGCCAAACCCGAGCAACGACGAAATAAAATACATAAACAATATACTGTTTAAATATATTTGGAGTAATGCTCCAGACAAAATAAAAAGAAAAAAAGTTGTTCAAGAATATGAAAAGGATGGATTGAAAATGATTGATATAAGATCATTTATTAAAAGCCTTAAAACAAGTTGGATGAAAAGATTATTCTTGTCTAATGAGCGATCTATGTGGGCAAATCATTTTAAAGAAAGTGTTCCACCTATCTGTGAGTTAGTTTGTTATGGGGCGAAAAAATTAAGACACATTGCAAATAATATTGTTCAGAACACATTTTGGAAGGATGTTGTTAACAGTTGGGCAGATTTATGTGCAGATTTTCCTGTTTCACCAGAACAGATATTAACTGACAAAATATGGTTTTCAGACCATACTAAATTTAAAACAAGCATCATTCACGAATGGAATACAAAAGGGTTGCGATTTATCGCAGATCTATACTGCAAAAGTAGTGGAACACTGTTGGATAGAGAAACTTTGAATCAAACATTTAATATAAACATGACTTTCTTGTGTTATCTATCATTAACTCGAAGTCTACCACGTCAAACTGAGTTATCCAATGCTGTTTCTGAAATTGCGTACCCTAATATACCATACAAAGTAACACTGCTCTCTAAAAATGTAAATACTTCGCGATTAGCATATAAAACATTTATCGTCTCGATATATAACGAAGAAAACACTCTGCCAACACATATCAAACGTAAATGGAACAGAGATATTGGGTGTATGCACGAAGGTACGTTATACGATGTGCAGAAATCCACAAAGAATACACACCTGCAAACTTTGCATTACCGCATTATAAACAGAATTATATCAACAAATACATTCCTATTCAAGATTGGTAAATCCGAAAGTCCGTTATGTACTTTTTGCAAGGAGGAGAATGAAACATTATATCATATACTGTGGGAGTGTGAAAAAGTAAAAAACTTCATAAAAGAAATAATAGGATATATAAAAGACAATTATAACATAATAATACGCCTTACAGCACAGTCCTGGTTCTTTCCGAGGATCGGGGAAGAGAGTAAACTCAGTATAATAATAATTACAATAGCCAAACAAGTAGTCTTTCAAGCAAAACATAAGAACAACACACCGAATATCAATCAGTTCATTGCGTTACTGAAAATAGAAGCTGAAAAGGAACAGATAAGTTCTATTAGAAATAACAAGAATTTGCAATTTTTAGAAAAATGGAGCAGTGTATCGAAAATCTTGTCTGACACCCAACCAACTCCTCATCCCATCCCTCCTCAGCCCTCCCCACATCCAATTAACCCACGCGGGCGAGATACCTCCGTCGCTGGTGTTTGTCGTCGGGGGTCCGGCGGCCGGCACGGTGCCGCACCCGTCGCCAGGCGGCCCTTTCGTCCGGCCCGCCCGTAGTGGCGTGCCCGCTGGCGCTGCTGCCCGCGCCGCAGCCGGGCCTGGCCCCGCTCGGCCGGGACGGCGCGGCGGTCCGATGGCACAATGTTAGATATAATATGTATGTATAGTTTGCTAAGTTTTGAAGAAAATGTTAATGTAGGTCGTGTTGCCTGTAACACGCACGGATCGTGCTCTATGGAAGTAGTTCAGTCCATAGACGAGGCCCCGTAGCAACGAGATTGCCAGTGCTGCCACCTGTACCCACTGTCCATATAGGTGGCGCTGTCCTGCTGCAAGGACATATGCGTTGTGTCAAGCCATGTATGTGTGCTTTAAATACAAGCGTAACTCGAAAAAAAAATGTTCTGAAACGTTGCCGTTATGATCATTTTTCAATTGGTCCACCCTAAGTGGTCCAAACCGGTCCAAACCCCCTGAAAACTGTTGCAGATGAGCCCATGCTCCGAAACTACGGAACCGATTTCGATTAAACGTTCCGTTCACCATTCGACGTGCTGTGTTCTGAAACGGTGCCGTTTTCACCCCCCCCCCCCCCCCGCAGCAGGGCGCGTGTGGATCTCCAGCTCTACTTTTACAAATGTTTGTTATTCTTTGTGGGAATGCATTAATTTGGGTTTTAAGGGCTCATTTCTATTTTCAGCGAGGAGAACATTCCTTCCGAAGCATGTGAGGCCCACGCTTAGTGCTATTGCTGCAAGAAAGAAGAAGCAGAAGCCGGCTCCTCCAGAGCCGAGGTCTTCTTATATTGAATGGTAGGTAACTGCGCTCTGCCGCCTAGTGGCGTCCATTGCACCGTTATATAGTCCCGCGCCGCTGCTCTGTTTTTTTTTTTTTTGTCAAATTATGCGATGCCTTTTCTTTTCACACTTAAGTGTGCTCGTCAATTCTTAGTCTGCCATTTTTGCGATTGATGACGAACGATGACAATGGACAATGGACATTAGCAACTGTTATGATTTTAGAAGTTCATGACTAGACATGGAAAATGTCATTGCGACTGGCAGATGTAGTGAAAAACCGAAGAAATTACTAGGTAGGAAGTGATGTTGTGTTAGAGCTCGCAGAACACTACATTAATGCATAAAAAAACGGGGGACGGTTGTTTCAGCTTTCTTTCGACAATGCGTTGTTTTATGTAAGTATCATTATCGATCAATTTACAAAATTTTGTCCCTTTGACGATTGACAGTCATCGTTTTAGACGCCGTTAAAACCTTCACCGTTTCATGTTTTATGAGGGAGGTTTGTCTGTATCGACCTCCGCCGCACATCTCCCGTACGGTGCGGTGACAGCGTCCCTGGCGGCCGTTTCAGGAACTACCCGGCCGAGCTGTTTGCCTTCTCGGCGCGTCTGGGAGAGTCGGTGGACGAACCGCTGCTGCGGCGGGCGCTGACGGAGCGGTCCCACATGCTGCAGAGCCAGGCCGAGCGGCGGCGGCTCGGCCTGCCCGAGAACGAGGTGGGCGGGTGGCGGCCGCGGCCGGGGCGCCGTGGGGGGGGGGGGGGGGGGCGGAGGGAGTTTCAGCAATAATGTGCGTGTCACTTACATGGCACCGGGAACCCTGATCTTCCGGATGTTCCTGGCCTAAAATTATGTTAACCAAAAGTGCACGAGGTTCATTGCCAATGTTGTGATACTGAGGTCTATGTTCCAGTATGTGCTAGTTTCACGATAGCGTATCGATGATGATGTTTCAACTGACCTCACCCTGCGGCTGACTCCTCAGGCGGACTCGGCCAGTAACTCTGATCTGGCCGAGCGCGGCTCGGACATAATGACGTCTTACATCAGCGGCTGGCTGCGCTCCGCCCTGCCCCTGCTCCCGGAGGAGGGCGTGCAGTCCGTGACGTCATATCTGACGTCACAACAGGAGCTAAACCAATTGGCCTCGGGCATCGGTCTCAAAGACATCGTCCTCTCTGAGGTAAATTTTCTTTATTTTTCTTGCTGATCTTCAACATGTGATAGGCATTTTGTTTTCACGCATTTCACAGAAGCTTGCTATGTTCTTTTATAAGCAGCATCGCTCAATATCGTTGGCCTGGTGGCTGCCATTCATGCAATTCTGCCACTCATATCTCATATCTTGGTACGCGATCTCATTTTATCGGCCGCTGTTCCTTTCCTTGTTACGCACTAGCACTCACGTCCTGACTCCATGGTATGCTTGCGTATCCTATCATGGCAGCCTACCCTCGCGACTTTGGGAGTACACTCCTGTCCCACTCTGACAACTGTTCTTCTCATCCCTCCCTCAGGAGTACCCTTTTAACCCAGACGCCCGCCCTTCCCCCTCAGGAGTACCCTATACCCCACCACTGCACAGTGATGCAAATGGGGTTCACGAGTGGCCATAAATACGAAAAAGGCCCAAAATTCAAGTTAACTTAATCGAATAAATCGTAATATGGTCAGTCAGACAAATGTTTGGGGTGTCTGAAAAAGTATGATTTTAATGTTTTTGTCAAAACCGGCCTCGTGTAGGATTGTCAGAAGTCGAGACATTTTCGATGCCGTAAAATGACTGTCAGGTACTTGAAATTCAAGTGCCGCTAGCGTGCGTTCATGTCATACAAACTGCAAAAATTATACATGAAAATGATCCCCGAAACCTGCTGCTTCTAATGCCACGTCATAAAAAGCCGTATCTATTTTGGTTTGGCGGTGAGCTAGCTATTTTTAATCATGTTGCAACCGCAGTTTTTACCAAAAATATTTGCTTTCAATTCACCTACAGCACTTCACACAGTGTGTGCCCGTTAGTGCACCATCTCATAGCATTCCCTAATCATTTCTGAGTCGCATCGTGAAAGAATTAAGGCGTTAGCACAGGGCTGACCGGCGCTACAGAAGTTTTCGTCCGGCACGGTCGGGTGCCGCGGCGCAGCGGGCGGCACGGGCGGCCGCGCCGCCGCGCCGCCCGGACGCCGCGCGGCGGCACCCACCCGACCACTGCGCGCCCGCTGAGGCACCCGACAGCCCGGACAAAAACCTCTGTAGCGCCGGTCAGCCCTGTGCTAGCGCCTTAATTCTTTCACGATGCGACTCAGAAATGATTAGGGAAGGCTATGGTATGGTGAACTAACGGGCACACACTGTGTTAAGTGCTGTAGGTGAAACGAAAGCATTTTTTTCTTAGTAAAAAACTGCGATTGCAACATGATGATAAATAGTCAGATTACCGCCAAAGCGAGTGAGCTACGGCTTTTTGTGACCAGGCATTAGAAGCAGAAGGCTTTGGGGATCATTCTCATGCATAATTTTTTCAATTTGTACGAAATGAACGCAAACCAGCGGCGTTTGAACTTGCGAGTGTCTGACCGTCATTTTACGACCTAGAAAATGTCACGACTTCTGACGATTATACACGTGGCCGGTTTTGACAAAAAGATGAAAACCATGTGATTTCAGATGCCCCAAACATTTGTCTATTCGGCCATATCGCATTTAACTCGATTTGGTAAACTTGACTTTTGGGTATTTATGGCCACTCGTGAACCCCATTTGCATCACTGTGCACTGACCCCTTACGGCCCCATCAGAAATCAGAAGAACCCTTTACCCCACCACTGACGTCCCCCCCCCCCCAGGAGTACCCTATACCCCACCAGTCACCACTGACCTCTTACCCCCCCCCCCCCCGTTCAGGAGTACCCTCCCTCCGAGGAGACGATGGCCCGGTGCCTGCGCGCGTTCGTGGCCGCTCTGGCCGAATCCTCGGGCGAGGAGCGTGCGCAGCTGTTTGTCCGGGACTTTGTGCTGGCCCGGCTGGCCACGGTCGATCTCACTGCCGTCTGGCAGATCGAGGTGAGCTTCTTGGGGAAGGGGGGAGGCAAGGCCCTAAATACAGGGGGAGGGATGGTGTTGAACAGACACAAGAACTCAGTCGTTTGAGCTGTACAACATTCTGCTGTGATCGTTAATGAGTTATTCCGTATTGTTTCGCCTTTTAAGTTGTTGCGACTTGCGATTCATGTCTCTATTCTGTCTGACGTAATTCTACTCGATCTGTCATAAAGGAGTCGCTTTCAGTGATAGTTGTCCACTGTGCTGCCTGTTTAATGACCAGAATCTGCTTATGTTGCTGTCCGACCGCCGACGTTCTGTTTGGTCTGTCTGACGTGAAGTCTGTGCTCTCTGTGCTGTCTGACGTGCTTTCTGTTCTGCGCACAGGAGCTGCTGTCTGTGCTGTCTGACGTATAACTGTCTGTTCTGTCTGATATGCTGTCTGCACTGCGCACGCCGCACAGGATCCGCTGTCTGTGCTGTCTGACGTCTGTCTGTTCTGTCTGACGTACTATCTGTTCTATTTGACATGCTGTCTGTTCTGCGCACAGTCTGGTATTGCCTGACATCTGTCTGTGCTGTCTGACATGCTATCTGTTCTGTCTGACGTACTGTCTGATCTGTCTGACATGCTGTCTGTTCTGCGGACAGGATCCGCTGTCTGTGCTGTCTGACGTGGTGTATTTGCTGTCTGTGCAGTCTGAGTTGTCTGACATTCTCTCTGTTCTGCACACAGGATCCGCTCTCTGTGCTGTCTGACGTGCTCCGGCGCTGCGGCCGGGAGCCGCCGGAACCGCGGCTCCTGCGCTCCGCCGGACCCGGCTCCTTATTGGCCGCATATGTTGTCGGCGTCTACTCGGACCGCAAACTGATGGGCTATGGTGGGTGATTGGGGGATGAATTGGTGGGATATTTAGCTTCTGAAGGGTGGTGAGTTGCATTGGGTGGACGTGACTTGCGTGCAATTTTCTGGTATAACCTAGTTTCTATTTCAGTCGCATTCGACACTATTTTGACGGTGTCGCTTATCTCTCCACTGACTTCTATAGTCATCGTTCCCCCTCCCTCCCCGCTTTCCCGCCAGCCCCGGGCGACTCGGTCTCGGAGGCCACCGGACTGGCGGCGCGCGCCGCGCTCAACCAGCTGATGGGCGTCTCAGAGCGGAGCGCTCCGCTCGACATCCGCGCCGAGCGGACGCTGCGGCACGCGCCGGCGGCCGCCCTGACCGAGTGGAGGCCGCTCTGAGGCGGAGCGCGGAGCCGCTCTCTCTGCGCACCTCGCAGGGAGGGAGGGTGTGGGTGTGATAACGTGTCGAGGCAGTGCCAGAGAATGTTGGGTGATCGAGGGTAGGTAAAACGTTTGGTGTGATGCGAGTGAGTGATCGCCGTTGGTAGGCCGATGGTCGTTAGTCGTTACCTGGCGGAGAAATTATGAGACAAGGGACATTGAGAGTATGGTCGAAGGCTGTAGTTGCTCGGGAATTAAGAACGTGAGGTGAATGCAAGCTGTACGATGGGACTACGACCGCCTTTTTTTGCCGACGGTTATCTTGTCAGATATTGATACCGGAACACCACGATACGGCATTATGCACCATCATGGCTTATGCAATTTAAATGAAACACGAAATGAGTGATCATGGCATATTATACACTCACAATTTGAAATTTGACGTGACGCGTCTTAACTGTCTGGCTGACTGCCTGGGAGATTCGTGCACATCGCAGTCCGTTGAGCCGCTATTTTTTATGGGCAATATGCTGACAGACGGCTGATCCTTCCTTTTCATCCTCACATTTAAAGCTCGGAAATAATAGGGCGGATGACAAGCGTCTGGTCTGGAAACAGAACACCATGCTTTCGGGATCAATTTCTATACACACTTGTGGATCATTGCAAGGTCAATAATTCTCCCCTTGATAAAGGTGAAGAAGCTTGATATCGGAAATAAATAATACCGGCAATTACTGATGACGAAAGTAAGCGGTGCGAGATTTCAGGTCCGGTGAATCGTAATCCGGTTTTGGCAGTGAAGAGCGTATGACACCGTGCGACGTGCGCTTTTTGGTGTGCCAACGAGTCGCCTATGGTTCGAGGTTTCAAGGTGCAGGCATTTAGTTTAGTTGAGTGGATGCCCGATATAGTTTGGAACATCGCCGGTAGACACTCGTAATTCGTTGTAAGTCGTAATTCCTTTTCTGTCAGGAGGGTCGGTTTATAGTTCAGGGCTTTCGGTGGTCAAAAACTTGTGATCCCTTGGGTTACTGAAATCCAGAATCATTAGGAGCAAAATCGGTGTTAGGTCCAATGATTTTTCCTCGCACAAAAAGGATGGTCAACGATATTTATCAGATTAAGTTTCTTATATAATAGCATTCGAAGGGGCTCCACAACGCACCAATTGCACCAGGTGAGGACCAGTGGTGTTTGTTTTGTTTTGTTTTGTTTTGTTTGTTTCCTTGTTTGTTTGACATTGCAAATGGGGAATGGTGAGGAGGGAGCATAGGAATACTTGGTAATCCAGCGACGTGGAATTGAGCCATAAGTGTTTATTTTTGGTGTCCCTTGACCCTTGTTTCCATTCATATCAATACCTAAAGGTATTGATATGAATGGAAACAAGGGAAACACGCATAGGCTATGCTTATTTCTATCCGGACTCCGGTCTCGTATGGTGGAAATCAGCTACTCTAACCCAGAGTATATAGAACACTCGCCTTGGAACACACCAGTTACTTGTTTATTCATTTGACGTTTTGTAAAATATAGAAAAACTGATTTTTTAAATTTGAAAAAGAAATTCAAATTGAGTTATATAACTTACATAACTTGTCAGACCCTCGAAAAATAAAGTAATTCTTGATAACACAAAGGATGAGGAAGTTTGTACGGAGATGCGACGTTGCCAAAGCTACGATCTTAGGAAGCGTTTGATGGACAGATGAATTTCGAACAATGAGTGGAGCTGACTTGGTACATTAAGAATGCTATATTTTACATATTTTATTTTATATATAGTTAAAAACTTTGGCCTTTGTTTCTTTTGTGTGCTGATGTTGAATGGCTTCAAAAGGCAAGGGCCGTGTTCATAGTCGACAATTCCAATAAGGAATTGGACACTAATTTGTAAAAGGGAGTTATTGTAGCTTTCATGCAATATCCAGTGTTTGGAGTGTGTGGGGTAAGAAAAATAATATTTATATACAATGGAGCTACGGAATTGTAGAAGTGATATTTCCGGATACACTAGACGGTGCTGCCATCTTGGAGGGAGCGGCGTCGGGCGGCCATGTCTGTTGCCGTCGGGACGCCTCGGCGTCGGCGGTAAGTACAATGTTGGAGGTGTAAATCATGCAGTGTGTTGTATTTTGTCATTACATATGTCTGAAGGTGCTGTTTTGTTAGTGGACTCGGCCAACAGCGCGTTACTGCTTGAAGACCAGTCGTTTCCGTAATGGCGGATGTGAATTATTGGCGCCGGTTGAACAGCTGGCAAGTTTTGTGGATGAGTCACCGTTTGGGTGTGGTAGATCGCTAGGTGTTTGCTAGAATGCCAATTAATGCATGCCTTTGTTGGATGTCCTAATAATCATAGTCATTATTGTGGCATTGGTTTTTGTGGAATTCATTTTCTTTTAATTAATAATTTTGATTTTATTTTCATTTATTTGTGAGTTACATCCTTACTTTTTTAATTTTCATTGAAATTGGATTTAATATTATCTATTCCATCTCAGTTGATTTTCTTTTGTTTTTTATGCATTATTTTGATTTTACATATTTTTACAGATTATAGTTACGGTAATTAGGGTAATATATTATTTGTGTTATATGCAGGAGTAGTTTTGAAGCTCTGGATTGTATTGGATTTATGCTTCTGATGAGTTAGGGCTCTGTATTAAATATTGAAATAGCAGTCAGAGGCCAATTTAAAAATTAGTTTGATCTCATAATAATATTATTAAATCACTGACTGACTAATTGCTAGTGGACTATTGAAGATTGAAAGGTATTTAAGGTGCTTTGAAGTTGAAGCTCATTCCATTCTTTGGCAAAATTAACTCAAAATTGTTAGATTTCCGTCATGTGTTTATCAATTCTTCTTATCTATGAATAGTATTTTGAACACTGCTTTATCATTCAGAATGACATAGGTGTTGATCATCAGTTTGGGCACTTACCTTATGGTGAATAGGACTTGACCAAACCTGACTCCATTAATGTGTGTTTTTAAATGGCTACCTGTGTAACCACCAGCTTTGTTCTCAGGTACATTGTCTCAGTGATGACTGGGTGAAGCTGCCATGAATGATCCACCTGATATACTCTCAAGGCGGGGGCTGCCCCCAACCTCCGCAGCCACTTCGTCAGGAGGGCAACACTTTGTAATTAGCAGTCCAATGCAGCAAGGTACACTCTCACAAGTAAGTCTTTTGGGGTCTATTGAGTGTTATTTATACTAGGATATTTGGGAACAATGTTGTTTGGCAATGGTATGCAAGATAGAATGGTTGCATATTCCATTCGCATTGATTGCATACTCAATTCTGGCTAAAATGTTCTGTGTGTAACAGAATGCAGGTCAACCAGAATGTTATCCTTTACCATGAACTTTCAGCACAAGAGTATCCAAATTGCCTGCCAAGCAGACTGATATTTTTTTTTTGCCTAGTCTGATTGTTTTCTGCTGAGTCGATCATAGTTTAGTTTGTTTGGTGTCATGAGTTCAGGGTGTCCCAAAAATAATGTCACACCTTTCCAGCATCCATTGCTTAACACGCGCACCGACGGGGGGCGGATATCCGCCCCCCCCCCCCCCCCCGAGGTTTTCGCGAAGAGCTACGCGCCGCCGCGAAATTTGGTACAACTATTCCCTCATCAATTTTACACATGGTGTGCAAGTTTGAACCTCCTACCTTTTAAGGTCAGGTCACCAGGTCACTTTGAATGACCCAACCTCAAGTCACTTTTTGCAACTTTGTCTCCATGCCAGAGCTACAGTAGATGTCGGAGGCCTTTGAAAGTCTCAAGATGTTATAAGGTCATTAGTAGCTACAATTTGTATATCTCGGAATTTTGATATCGGTGACCTAAGGTCAGGTCAATTTCGCGACCTCCCCATTGTAAGTCAATGGGGGAAAAATCAACTCCCTATTTTTACCACTAAAACGAGTCGGAATGGCCCCATATACCATACATGACTTAATATACGATCAACCTTCACTACCTTGAGGTCTGTTTTGCTGTTGGGCAGCTGTGAGGTCATGTGACGTCATCAAAGGTCACCAAAGGTTTTTGGCCAATAACTCCGTACAGGAACCAGATACAGCCGCGGTCTCATTGTGTTCAACTCGTCAAGACGCATCAAATGATATACATGATGACCTCGAGGTCACGTTGCCTGAGGTCAACCTTTGACCTTGACCTTTCGAGGTCAACATATATGTCATTCGATGCGGATTGACGAGAGGATCACGATGATGCCCTTAGTTTGTTCCTATCTTGACTAATTCAAAGTTATTCGAGAAAAACTCCATATCTAGCGCCGCCATTTTGACTTTTTCGACCCCTGTGACGTCATCTTTGACCTGACCTGAAAATGACGTTAGTAAAAATTGTAGATCTTGACCGTGCGTATCCGATGCCGTTTACCGCTTGTCGCTATCTTGCTTCGTTCTCGAGATCTCAGGGGGGGGGGGGCGGCGGTCATCCGCCCCCCCCCCCCCCCGTCGGTGCGCGGGTTAAAAACATCAAACATGAGGGCTGCACTTTTCTTACATATGTATCCCCACTTCTCACTGATACAAACAAGAATATGGTCCGGCACACCAGACATCCACTTGTCCAGTTTCTGTTGACTGGGCCGGGCGGCCCTGTTTCATCGGTGATAGCAGCACGCTGCTATTCCATTTCGTGAGCTGATGTCACACTTCTGGGGTAGTGTTGGAGGAGTAGTCTTGTTGACGTCTCCATTGAAACCCAATTTGACACGTGTTATGGCAGCGTGCTGCTATCACCGGTGAAACAGGACCCTGATCTTGGACCAGGCAGATCGAGTGTTGCTAGTCAGCGTGCCGTCGGATGTTTCCCTGCCATTTTGTTCACCTCTTACCGGACGATCCCCAGATATTTTCTATCGGCGACGGGTCGGGGCTATTCCCCGGCAAATTGTCCTCCCAGCAGGGCATATTTTAAGGCACTTACTGCGTCCCATTTTGGGACGCAGCCCCCTCGCCTTGGGACGTAGCCCCTGCTAATTTGACCCACTGCGTCCCTGCCCTGTCTGGTTCCCTGACCTGTGCCCTGCTGTCTGCCCTGACCTGTACCCGGCCTTCCCTCTAAAATGTCCTGTGCCATGCCCTGCAACCTGCCGTGCCCTGCTTTCTGCCCTCCTCAGTGCCCTACTCTGTTCCTTGCCCTGTGCCCTTAGTCGTAGCACGTGCCTTCTGCTCAACTTTGGGACGCAGTAAAAATTTGTTAAAATATGCCCTGCCTCCCAGAATGCCGGGAAGTACAATCGACATTGATCCTGCGTCGTTCTAGCTCGATGAGCCGGGGCGCCGTCTTGTTGAAAGATGACTCTGGACATGTTCAATAGAATTTTTCGGCTGGAGACGTGGCTTGGTGGGCTTCAGGTAGAGGCAACCTCAGGTATCGATAGATTGTTGACTT